CCTTTACACGCTTATTTTAAGCTTTCCGTCTTTTAATTTGCCCTGTCGTCACGGTCCCCAGCCAGCCGGGAGCTTGTTCTGCAAAATCATACAAAAACAAAACGAACGTCATAACAAAACGAAGCTAGAGGCTTGTATTGAACTTCTATGCAAGATGTGGCATGCTCATCAAAAAAAAAAAAATGATTTTCTCCCGCAATGTCTGTAGGGACGGACGCTCGCTCGCTCTTACGGTGACGTTATAACCAAATTTTCTCGGCTTGATGGTGTACTAAAAATTTCTAACCATGGTGCTCCACTGGTGCGCTTCGCGAGATGAAGCTCCGCTATGAACCAATTCTTTTATAACATCGAAGTTAAGGTGGCTCGTACCAGTTTTCAGGTTTTTGGCGGCTCATAACTTTGTAGGAATAGAACAAAAAAGCAGACCAGGACCACTGTAATATTTTTGTACATTTGGATCATATAATTTATACTTGAACTAAAACAGCTGTTATTTTGTCGTAGCAGTTACCATGGCAACATTCCAAAAGGATTTTCCGGACCTGATTTTTCGCTTATGTCACTAATAACTAAAAAATTAACCCGGTGACTCCAAGTTTTTTTTTAAACCATAGCTTTTGGCATCTGAAAAGGGGAATGCACAACAATTTTCAAAAAAATTTACGGAGCCGATTTCTTGTAAACTTGGAAAAACGACAGTTTGCATAAAGCGCAAATTTCCTTCCGTAGAATTTTTTAATTCTTTTTTGTGACGTTTCCTCTCAATAATATTATTACATTAAAACGATAAAAAGAAGGGGTCACCGGGTTTGTTTTCATGTAAGGGCCTTCGCGAGTTCCGTTATTCCCACGCGCGTAGTCACGCAATCAAAAATCTAGACTTTATAAGATCAGCAGTTGCTCATGAGCTGTTTGGTCTACCGCTGATTCTTCGTGTGCCCGCGCGGGCGAGCGGGCTCCAAACAGGCTTTTTGTTTTGTTTGCTGCGAAAACATCATTTACAGTTGCAGTTGTCGTTAAAGGTACCTTCCTGGGCTTAGTCTGTAGGATTTTTACACAAATTCTAGGTAGATTTGGTTTGTTTTTGTCAAATAGCATCGAGCGAAAGTTTGAAATGAACTAAATTGCTTATAGAACACGTGCGTTGTCGTTGTTGGTTGAGGAAGTATGGAGATCGCGAGGCTTCTAAATATTAAAAGGTAGAGTTTCTTTATGTGATATTTCTACTAGCATTTTGTCCTATTCTTCGTGGTTGTTTAACGATGGCGGCCAGTATCNAGCGTTCTTAACTTTCATAGCAAATAAAAATTTAAAACATTCGTTTTCTTTAAATTGTTTATCAAAACGTGGTAACGACTTAACAACGATGTCAAGTTGACTCGTTTTGTTTTCGACGTACGTTAGAAATTTGAAGCGGTTCCGCGTTACTTGAAATCGTTTCCCGAACCTGTCAGACATATAGTAGAAATAAAAATAAATCGACGGGGGGAAAAACCTGCTCTGTTCGTAACTTACAGTTCGGACCTCAAACCTGGTTACTAAGAGGGATTTACACATGATATTGATTGACAGAGATTGATCGTATGAAGAGAGGATTGGTAGAACTTTTTAAAGATTGGACGAATTTAATCAAATTCATTGACCAGAGCAGTGATTTTTACTTGCTGAAAACCGTAATTGGCTGTAAAAGCCCTGTTGATTAGCAAATTAATGACTGCGTGAAATGACATTTTTTCCCTAGTTCACACTTCATAAGCTAGTCATATCTAGGTGTCTCAATATATCGAGCAACATGACCTCCATAGGCTAAAAGGCACGCAAACAGCCACTGTCCAATTATTCCTCTTTCAGTTTACCCGCGATCTGCCCTGAAACTTGGTTCTTTGTTAATCATACAACTTTGTGCTCCTCCTTCTTCAATTCCTTGGTCCCAGGCTATTCTAAACTTTTTTATTATCATGTTATTACCACTATAGAAACATTGCTTTAATTTGAGTAAAGTTCACTCGGTTTATGTAAATTTGAACTGTAAACAGCAAATGTTCTACTTCTTCTCTCTTCTAACTGGCTCTCAGAAGGGGCTGCTAAAATATTTTATAGTTTAGTCAATTAGAGACGAAAATCAGATTGTGAACAATTAGTTATTTTATTAAAATAGTGGGATTCGCATAGCTTATGGTAAGGTGGAATAAATCAAATATAACCCGGAATTTCGAGTTACATTTAGACACGGACACTGAGTTTTGTCTGTGTTACGGCATCTCATGATCAGTTACTTGAGTTTTAAGTCATCTCTGGTTTGCACTCACTAATAACATCCGTAGCTATAGCTAGAAAACTAGGAAATTAATAAATATGTACTATCATTGAAATAGAGTGTTGACTATTACACTTCGAATAAATACTTTTCGCAAAACAGCGCTATCTAAGGGGCAGGTCAAGGGGGAAGGTGCAGGGGGTGCGCACCCCCGCCTGAGATGAGGCCTTCTTCTTCGTATTCGCTTTTAAAATTTGTTTACCTCACCAGTCAGTTACCCCACTCCTTAGTGGTGCACCCCCTCCTAAGAAAAATAGTGGATCGGCCCCTGTCTCTGTTAAGTTTCAAACAAAAGCATTTGAGAAGGAGTAGGGACTGAGGAGTTTGTGGTATGATGGCACAGTCCCAGTTTCAGACGCTACGTACGACTTTAAGTTGCAAATCAGTTTCTACTGTCATTGAATATATAATATATAATATATAATATAGATTTGCAGAGTTGGATTATTTGGTCGAAGACATTTATTGCTACTCAGAGTTTCATGCTCCTTGCGAAGCAATCATCAGGCAAATGCCAAAAATAACGGATACACAAGAAGATATACAAAATTTGAAAATACAGAACAATGCCTAGTGGCTTGACATGCAGAGATGTGATTGGTAAAGTTTGTGAAGTTAGCGGGCTTCTCATAAAGGATCGCAGAATATTTCTATAACAACTTGACAATGATGTTAGGAAGATATCGAAACGTCTTTTCGTTTATTTTCGCTTACCTTAAAACGAAATCATTACTGACTGTAATGTTTATGATCTTTGTCCAATAGGTTGCCAAAAGCAGAGTTTCACTCATAAACCCGCTAAGCCCACTCATGCCTACGTTGGTAGTAATGTTTCTTTAGAATGGCGCTACTGCCAGCCGAGTCATTTCAAACTTTACGAGGTGGCGTTTGGTTTATGGACGAGTTCCCCAGGTGTTCTGAGTAAAAAACTTGTGGCAGTCAGTAGGAGTGGTTCGGTCCAAGTAAGAGCAGGATACGAAGGCTTAATTAGTTGGGCAGGAAATTTGGCATCTTCCCATGCAGTGTTTGTGCTTTATCATGTGCAGTCCGCAGACGAAAACAAAGTATTTGGAATCCATGTCGAGTACAGTGGTTTAAATTCACCATTAATAGACACAGTACAGCTTCAAGTCGAGGTAGAACGTAAGTAGCAATTTCATACAAGGTTTATGTTACAGCTTTGAAAAGGGCTGATTAGCAATTCAGAGTTTCAGAGCACTTTCTAAATCGAGTTTTACGCTTTTGTCGAAGAGCTGGATTAATGAATAAGAAGAAAATTAACAAATTGACAATCAACGTCATTATTATGTAACGAACATTGATCCAGGCTTTTAATTTGGTTTGTAGCCATTACAGATCTTCCAAGAATCACCTTCGTTACGACTCCACCCCTGGTCAGGACGGGACAAAATGTGAGCCTTAATTGCATAGCCAGCAGTCTTTCTCCTGTTAACGTCACGTGGTACA